TCAATTCTTGAGTGCTGCTGTCCAGAGGAAGAAGTATTTCTAAATCTAGATCGGAAACAGCTCACAGCACCTCCCCAAGTACAAGTGATGCTCACCTGCTTATGCTGGTCATGTTTCCAAAACTCCCTCATTGCCTAGAACTTATTATTTCCATACTTTATACCCCCTTACCACTGAACTTCGAAACCAAGGTAAAATTAATAAAATGCCTCCATTAAATGCTTTGCCCTTCTCCAGCAAGGAGTGGGAGGAATCACTTGTAGGGAAAACATCATTTAATTGCTTGGAAGTAATTTCTTTAATTAAATTACCTATCTCAACAGAAAGATCTAGCATCAGGTTATGCTTTGAAGGCCCTGTAACTGTAACGCATGGGTAGGTTTCCTATTTCACTTATCCTGGCAAGTTCTCAGGTGTCCCAGAGGCCATTTCATGAGGGAATATGTTAAAAAGCTTTCTGTCACTCAATCATGCCCCACCCCAAATTCATATTTAAGTAGTTCACAAAAAATGTTTAGCAGATTCTCCTAAGGAGTATGTTCCTCCAGAACCCCACAGAAAACTAAAGACAATGTCTCTCAGGACTGTTGAAGTCTCCTTATCTGCCATGTGCTTGTATTTTATAAGAAATAAAATAGGCCAAATCTGCCGGGCCAAGATTTTGGAAACAGAAGTAGGAAGACTCTCTTACCACACATCTGAACTGTGGAATCCATCAACCTGAAGCTACAGTCAAAAGGGCCACAGACTCCCTGGTTTTGTGTATGTGCTTTGCTATTTGATGAAAACAAAACAAAAAACAAAAACACAAGATCCTGACTACCAACACGGAGAATCAAGTCATCACACTCTGAAATTCTTTGGGCCTAGTGTTTAGCCCAAGAATATAATAGAGATTTCGGTGTGTGTCTAGAAAGTCTCCTTTGTTGTGATTCACTTGTGTGAGCTGTGATTTCTCACAGCTTAATGTTTAGGTGTTCAAAAGTAGCAAAAGCTGCTGGCTTTTAAGAAAGAAAAGAAATGTTTGTTCAGAAAACATTTACGTTTACTCATATTCAGTTTTAGTACCTTTGAACTAGGCCAAAAAGTGTCTTATTTCTAAGCTCTTCATAGAAAAAAGTAAATTAATTTTAAAAATTAAAATCTTCTTGATAGCATTTTTTTATTCTGTCATCAGGTTAGTTTTATTTACTATTATTTTTGTTTGTTTGTTTGAGACAGGGTCTTAACATAGCCCAGGCTGGCCTATGTAGCCAAGGATGACCTCAAATTCCTGGTCCTTGTGCCTCCACTTCCAAAGTGTTGGGATTACAGCATGAGGCACCACGCCTGGCTCAGACTTTTTAATCAACACATAATCTAATGATAGATTTAAGCATCATGCACAGACCAGCACACACCATGTAGAAACATCTCTCTCATTAAGATTTACTTTATTAGCTGCTTATGTTGGGCTAAACTCTGACCTCAAACTTGTGGTTCTTTGGAAATGGTAAATAATCATGATACACCCATAAAAATATATGCCATCCAATCACAGCAACTGAAAAACAGTGTACCGTACAAATACCACAATGAAGTGAACTTCTGATGATTCAGAGTCGATGAAGCTGACATAAACAGATGCAGTTAGAAATGCTCTCCTTGATAAGACTTGAATTCTTGACAACATGCAGGACTCAGAATGGTGTGTCCGGTGGGGAGTGAACAAGGTTTTCTGGTTTTGTTTCATGTAATGGAAAGAAGGGGTGAAAACAGCGGGGAAGACAGGGAGGCTGGGGAGGGTGACTGAGGAGGTCTAGGGGGACAGGAAGTCACGAGACGGTTCTAAGGTGAGGACAGCTGAACCTGGACAGAAAGTGCAAGAGATGGAGGTAGAAGGGAGAGGGAACTTGAAAGGAGCCTGAGGGTGAACGAGGGAGGGAGGGAGGGGTTCCGGAGGCAGCCAGCCTGGGGCTGCTGGGAGAGCTGGGAGTGGAAAGAGCCTTCAGACAGGCAGGAAGGGGTAGGGCGGGAAGCCCTACCGAACTCAGGACCTCCCTGCACAGAAACCCTGCTCAAACCTTCCGAGTCTTACTCACTCCAATGGGAGTTCTTAATATATTAATAAAACCATTACAATTCACATTATACACATATTTAATCTGAATACATGGTCAATATAGCAATAAAAACAGAAGTTCTTACATTTTATAACATTTGCAAATTTTCATTTCTTTTTTAACTTAGAAGCATGACAAAGAATATTTGTTTCACAGAAGTTACTTATTGAGCACCAATAAACACATAAAACTAATATGTATCGTCCTCCCCAATCAGAGAAATCCCAATCTTCTCTGCCCTGTAGCAGCAAACCCGAGTCAAGACCATCACCGCTGTTGGGTGGTGATGGCAGTTCTTTCTTTCAGTTCTTTCTCTTCTGGTTACTTTCCTTTGCCACGTGAGCAAGCCCGGAAGGACTTCTTCCCTTCCGGTCGCCTTTGTCTCTGGAAGACACTTTACTAGGAACTGCCTTCGTCTCTGTCTCTGTTGCTTTTTTCCAGTTTTCCTTGGATTTAGCACTTCTGTCTGGGCTGGCTTTCTCCTTTTCTCTGTCTTTCTTACCTCTAGGAGATGCTTTCCGGGATGTATCTGGGTCACCCTTCTTCCCCTTCCGTTCATCCTCCTTCTTCCTCCCCCTGTTTCTCTCTTCACTCTTGCCAGGCACAGCCTTCTCTCTCTCCTTCTTAAGCTCTTCTTTGCTGGATTCTTTAGCTTTCAGGTTTCCCAATCAAAGGAAAAAATGTTTACTGATACTACCGAAATCCTCCAAGGGCACCTCAGAGGTAAAGCACTGTCTTGTCCCGACTCACTGGAAAGCTCTCATTCAGAAGTTAGTCTACTAGCTCAAACATTGTCTAAAAAGGTACATAAACCTCTATAAAATAGTAGCTATGAAAGGAATCCTGGGAATATCTCATCTTATCTTTCCAGGTTAAAATATAGTTTGACTTGTGTCAACACAGGCTGGCATGCAATATGAACAAAGTGAACCCATCCGTAAGGGCAGTGAAGAGCTAACTCCTAACTACACTGTCACAAGTAAAGGGATGAAGGTGCTGAGAAACTTGTTTTTATACAAAGATAATTACAATTTTCAGCTTGAACAAAGTGTTATGTCCTTAACAGTTAAGTTTATGGGCCTTGAAGGAAAAAAAAAGGTGCACAAATAAATTAAATATCATTTGATTCTTGGCAGCAAAAAAAAAAAAAATCAACATGTATACATTTTCAAATTTGTTATCTGTAACATTTATAATGGAAACTGAATATTTTTATGTTTACGGTCAACTTCACGTAATCAGTATTCCTTTAAGTACATCTTCCTGTTAATTTACGGAAGACCATACAAGCCAATGTACATGTCCTCCAGCACTTACGGAGAGAGTGAAGTAAAACAGGAAGTACAGGACTTCCAAAGCTCACATTAAATCCTGCTTTTCACAGCCAGGTGGTGGTGGTGGTGGTGGTGGTGGTGGTGGTGGTGGTGGTGGTGGT